ATGGTTATTACCTTAGTGGGATCCACTATCCCGACGTTTATTGCCTTAGTGGGATCCACTATATAGGTCTATTATCCTAGTGAGATCCACTATCTAGACGTTTATTATCCTAGTGAGATCCACTATCTAGACGTCTATTATCCTAGTGAGATCCACTATCCCGACGTCTATTATCCTAGTGAGATCCACTATCTAGACGTCTATTATCCTAGTGAGATCCACTATCCCGATGTTTATTACCTTAGTGGGATCCACTATATAGGTATATTATCCTAGTGAGATCCACTATCTAGACGTTTATTATCCTAGTGAGATCCACTATCTAGACGTCTATTATCCTAGTGAGATCCACTATCTAGACGTCTATTATCCTAGTGAGATCCACTATCTAGACGTCTATTATCCTAGTGAGATCCACTATATCGACGTTTATTATCCTACTGAGATCCACTATATCGACGTCTATTATTATTACCTTATTATTTATTACCTTAGTATACTAGTTTACCATCACTATAAATGTTTCTTTGTTATTAAGCAGAAAACTACACAATGGACTATTTGTGCTGTGCCCACCACGAGTATCGAAACCCGATTTTTAGCGTCGTAAGCCGAAGACTTACCGCCGAGCCACTGGGGGATAGGCACTGTAACTTCATTGGAAGACCAATATGATCAGCCATTTTAAAAAGTTCACCGTCAGGGGAAGGAAGATTAAACAAAACGTCATTGTTCGAACCTTGGTTTAATTAAAAGAAATGTTTTTGCCGCTCTTTGACTCGAAACTTAATGATTTATTTCCTCTAGCACTATGTTCCTTATCATCTCCTCTACGAAGAAAAACATTGCTGGTCTGATTAACGTCACGACCCGAGAAAACTGCCAGTAGAAGAGTTTAATTATAGAAAGACGATTATCACTAATGGTAGCAGGAGTGGGAAAAAAACAAAAGATAAAATGAAGGATAAGAATGAATGGGAAACAAACGGTTATAAATATAGCATTCAAATCACCTGTATTTCATTGTTCAGTTTAGTATGATTTATTGGGGGGGGGGGTAGGTATAAAAGTGTTTGTTGGCATCTAGTGTAAAATGATCAAAATTTACAAATTTCGTTTGTCAATTCCCAAATTGGGTTGTTTTCGAAGCACAAAGCCACGCAATGGGCTATCTGTGCTGTGCCCACCACGCGTAGAGTAAACCCGATTTTTAATGTTGTAAGGTTATTGACTTAACGCTTAGCCACTAGAGGGCTCCAAACTATAGGTTTTAAAACGAAAACAGCTTTTCGGTTCAGAAGATGAATTTGTTTAATGGTTTGAAATCATAAGATTTACTTCTCAATTCAGTAAAAAACGTAATATATATATATATAGGTAATTGTATGAAAATCACCTTAACAGAATACATTTTAGAATTGGTTATCCATAACCTTAAAGTTACCAAAAGTGGGTTCTAATTTTAACCTGACTGTGGCTCTCTTTTCTAAAATTGTGTGTTAATTAATTTGTTTCACAATAGCGACGGAAGCCAGTCAACCCTTGGACTACTCTTGTCTGACCAAATACTGTGATATGACTGTCACTCTTGCAGTACATCCATGGCCTAAAAGTGCGGATCGTGTTTTCGGGGCAACGGCATGCGAATGAATCCTCAGTTAAAATCCCGGCGTGCTAACCACTATGCTACGCTCGGCCCATTTATACAGAAATAAAAATAACTCCGTGTTGATGTCAATCAATGCTTTTAAACAAAAGATCAGAATAACTTTGCAATGTGACTCATAAAGTATTTTTAGTCGCGGCATAACGGCTCTGAGTTTTTTGTGGTTTTTTTCAAGTACAAACTTTTAACTCATAGCTCTATCTCTTGACCGATTTGAGATCTAACTACAGCCACGGCTTCTGAGGATTCCCTCTGGTTTAAATAATAATAAAAACATTGATAAAATGCTATAATTAGATAAATTCTATACTTAAAAAAATGTCATAATTTTATGTACATTTTGTAATTAAACAAATCTCAAAATTTCAGTTAATTATTTCACTATCATCTCAGTTATACATTAGACGTTATTGTTGATAACGTGGGTTATCAGGTGGGTTAGGGTGATCGACTCGGAACCTGCTGGTCGCGGGTTCGAATTTCCGTCACCAAACATACTCGTCCTTTCAACCGTGGGGGTCGTTATAAAATGATTGTCATTACCCCTATTTGTTCATAAAAGGGAAGCCCAAAAGTTGGCGGTGGGTGGTGTTGACTAACTACCTTCCTTCTAGTCTAGCACTGCTAAATTAGGGACGGCTAGCCCAGATAGTCCTCGAGTAGGTTTACGTGAAGTTCAAAATAAACCAATACTGTTGATATTGAGGTTCAAATGAAAAAAAAAATGCATTAAAATATTTGACATGCGCACTAAGCACTTATGTTTAAAAATCAGGAAATTTGTTGGAAAGCTTTTCATGGCAAAATTTAAACATCCAATAAGATACACCACATTCATGACGTAGATTCACAGAATACAAAACGGATGTGACGTATATTATTTACTATCACTCTTTTAATAACGTTGATGATCTAGAAAAAAACAACAACAACGTTTTGACTTAAATTTAATTTAAGATTTAGCATGATATTCTCAGACGTTCGAAAATCACTATCTATTGGGGGAAGGCAGCCAGTCAACATCCCCCACCGCCAACTCTGGGCTACCCTTTTACCAACGAATAGTGGGATTAACAGTCACGTTACAACGCTTACACGGCTAAAAGGGCGAGCATGTCGGTGACGGGGATTCGAACACGCGAGCCGAGCGCCCCCTAACCACCAGGCCATGCCGGGTCAATTTTGTAAACAAAATAATTTTCTTTCATATCCTTTGATGATCGACGTGGCAAACCTAAGAAATAATTTGGATATATTCACCGAAATACAAGAATTTTAAGTCTGAAGAGATCAAGCTAGTAAAGATGTTTTCGTAGCCATATTTCTGTTTGGAACTATTATCAATGTGATCCTGAAATTATACATCTTGGCAAGATTATTTTTTTTTTATCAATTAGGTATTAGATTATCTTTTAGCGGTACATCAAGGACTTTAACTGCGTGTTTACCTTAATGGGGTGTTAAAAACAGACAAAAGTAAAAGACTTAGCATTCTTTAGTATAAACTAAGCACGTGTAATGCACGTGATTGCCGCGCTTGGTATGGTGAAAATGACAAGATTAGTAACTTATGATTGGTTGGTTCGGAGAACTTATTACCAAAATACTGGAATCAGCTGACTTTGGTAAAGCAGGAAGTAAATAAATAAAACTGAGTAAAGAAGGTATACACTCTGTAAGTTATTCTTCTCATGAACACAAATCAAAACTGTCTCTGGAAAATAAAGAAAACAAGAGAATATATCGTGTGGTCAACTTGAGCAAAAACAATGAAGACTTCGACAAACAAATGTATGTGACAGTGACATTACTTCGACAAACAAACGAATGTGACAGTGACATTACTTCGACAAACAAACGAATGTGACAGTGACATTACTTCGACAAACGAAGGAATGTGACAGTGACAATACTTCGACAAACAAACGAATGTGACAGTGGCATTACTTCGACAAACAAAGGAATGTGACAGTGGCATTACTTCGACAAACAAACGAATGTGACAGTGACATTACTTCGACAAACAAACGAATGTGACAGTGACATTACTTCGACAAACGAAGATAGCCCTCGTGCAGCTTGGCACGAAATTCAAAAGACAAAGACAATATCACTTAAAACTAATTATTAAAGAGCTAATTACCACATCACTCCCGGTGGCAAAGTTGAGGGTTTATAACGCTAAAAATCAGGTTTCGATACCCACGGTGGGCAGAACATAGCGAGTCCATTGTCATGAAGTTTTGAGCTTAAAAACGTACAGACAATTCAACTGATAATGACATAAGGTTGGTTTCCCTGTCAAATGAGCTCCATATTATTTTTTTTTTAACAATGGTTCAGTAATAGTTATTTCTTCGTTACGTGGCTGAAGTGTGGTCTTTTCCGATCTTCGTGTTTGACATTAAAAGAAAAATCTGTCAAAAGCTATTGAACCGAGTCTTTTTTTTTTTTAGAAAATGCTTACTTGCTGAATGAACACATATAATGTTCACAGCGACCTCTATATCAAAATAAGCTCTTGTGTAACAAGAGGCGGAAATTTAAGCCTTTCCCTCATTTCACTAATTTATCTTCAATTTTGTTACTTCCTGTAAACATAAAGCGGTAAGCACCATCGATAGTTCATTCTGTGGGCGTTCACGTGGCAGAACAAACAATTTAAAAACACCTGCGCGAATTTCGTAATTTCTTTTTTCAAAGAGAAAAGACATTTTATTCAGTATTCTCGAATAAACTTCAGCCACAATCAAACGTTTATTTTTTTTATCTTTCTGACCTCTTTGCTCTTGTTAGTCTATTTAGCTTTTCTAGCTAATTAAAGCTCGCAGAAAAATCCAGAAGAACGAAGGCTTATAAATGGATAATTATGCATATAATCAACGTAACCGTAAAACCTAAATTAATCTGAGCCCCCTAGCGGCACAGCAGCATGTCTGCGGCTTACAACACTAGAAACCTGGTTTCGATAACGGTGGCGGACAGAGCACAGATAGCCCATTGTGTAGCTTTGTGCTTAACTTCAAACAACAACAACAACTGAAGTGACACACGTACGATTACAATGGGCTTTAACTTCCAACAACTCAGGCCCAAATTTACCACCAGGTGGACAAGAGAGAAATCTTAGTTACATTTTAAAATATTCAATATTTGGGTCTTTTTTTTTTTGCAATAAAAATTTGGGTTATCTGATTTTGGTTCAGATATTCTTGGAAAGCTACAAAAGGGCAACTAGCCGTCCCTAAGTTTGAGCTAACTGATTAGAGAGATAGCAGCTTGTCAACAGCACCCACCGCCAACTCTTGGACTACTTTGGTCGAGTATTAAGATATTATTGTTACTTTTATAACGCATCCATGACTCCAAAGTGTGGAGCATGATATTTTTTCTTTTTGTAGCAACGGGACCCGTACCTCGAACCATCAGATTTAAAATCCTTAGGCCTGTGGTGGTGAACTAAGTGTTAAGTGGTAAAAAAGGCTCCATGAGCCCAATTAAAAAATTGTAGTAAATTAAAAAATTAAATTAAAAAATTTATCAACTTCGTCTTTAACTCTTAAATTTCACCATTAAAGTTAAGCAAGCTTAATGGATCATTGTTTTGCTTATGAGCTTTCTAAGATATTTTGGCAAAAGACTATATAATTGTAAATAAACACGGCCTTTTGGTTTGTTTGTAGTTGCCCCCCCCCCCAATAGCACAGCGGTATGTCTGCGGACTTACAACGCTAGAAACCGAAACCGGGGGGGGGGGCAAGGTAATTTTACCGAATTATATGATATTATTTGACTTATCTGAATAGCGTTTCTTTTTTTTTCGCTGTACACCTTAATTTTTTTTTTGTGGGTGGTTGAGTGTGTGTGTGGGTGGGTATCAAATTATAACCATGAATAAGGGTAAATTAACCTTTCTAAAATTTACGTTACATACTTCTTAGGTTGCTTAGCTCTCTCACTCATTGACTATATATATATATACTATATATATATATATACCCAGCTAAATCCAACCAAGCACGATTCACCACAGTATACATTTTTAATATATTACGTCAATAACATAATTTTCCTTCATTAACGTACACCCCCTGTAATTAAAACATTGACTGATCCACACGTTGTCATGGCTACTGGCCTACGTGATCACCTAAGTAAATTACTGATTAGTTACTTATATTTACTGTTATTATTAATTACTATCTTTTAATTATAGCTCTTTGATTCCTAGCACAATGGACTATTAGTGCTGTGGATAGAACCCCAAATTTTAGCCTTATAAGCCGAAGCTTGCCACTGAGCCAGCGGAGAGCAAATGATAATAATTAACAACTAAAATCAGGTTATCGTATAGATACATAACCATGGCAGCGAATGACGTTTAACTGTCACAACATTATCGTTAGGGCTGTTCCACTGTTCTAGTCGTGCCATGATACGCTGTACTGGGATAAGCTTTCATATTAGCACCTATTTTGTTAAGCCTAAACGTTGTTATACGGCTAAATTTCCATTTATGATAACAGCTTCAAACAAATCTAGGAGATATTGGGGCAGATTTCTCGGGACACTTTTGACCCTGGTAAACTCTGTCTTTCAGTCGCCCCATTTTTCCTTTTATCGATTCAGATTTCAGAATTTTTGGGGCAAAACTATCCAAGAGATATCAACGTATACCCCCCCCCCCAAATAACTAAATAAATAAAATAAAAAATTAATTGATGGGCTAGAGAGAAGGCAATATAACCAACAGCACCCGCCGTAAGCTATTCAGTTACTGTTATCAGACCTAATAGTGGGATTTGACCCACCCATGGCTCCAAAGTGTGAAGCGCGTTTTTTTTTGCAGCAATAGGCCGTGCGAACAATAAATCCTTGTATTCACAGTCCCAGCACATTAACCACTGGACTACGTGAATATCCATGACTTACAGTCGTAAAATAAACTAAAACAGTGCGTGAATACCAATGAGTTACAGTAGTAAAATAAGGTAAAACAGTGCGTGAATACCCATGAGTTACAGTAGTGAAATACACTAAAACAGTGCGTGAATACCCATGACTTACAGTAGTAAAATACACTAAAACAATGCGTGAATACCCATGACTTACAGTAGTAAAATAAGGTAAAACAGTGCGTGAATACCCATGAGTTACAGTAGTAAAATAAGGTAAAACAGTGCGTGAATACCCATGAGTTACAGTAGTAAAATAAACTAAAACAGTGCGTGAATACCCATGAGTTACAGTAGTAAAATAAACTAAAACAGTGCGTGAATGCCCATGAGTTACAGTAGTAAAAGACGCCCATAACAGTGTGTAAATACCCATGAGATATATTAGTAAAAGACACGCAAAAAAATGCGTGAAACCCCAATGTTGCGTCATCAAAAGTTTTAATGGAGGGCGTAATAAAATGAAGCTTTGATTTCTTTTTCCAAATAATCTATCTTAAATAATCTACCTTATCTTTGTAACAAAAGTAAGTAACTGTTTTTATATCACAATCTTGAAGTTAATCCCTAGGGACATCTGTACACACGCACGAAAGTGAGATAAATCCTCTAGTATTGAAACCTCCCGAAATAAGTCATACGCCGAGTGTGGCCCAGATGTTAGCATGCCCTTACTGTGGCCCCCAGTGGCACAGCGGTATGTCTGCGGACTTACAACGCTAGAAACCGGGTTTCGATACCTGTATTGGGCAGAGCACAGATAGACCCTTGTGTAGCTTTGTGCATAATTAAAAACAAACAAACAAACCCTTACTGTGAATCCAAGGATTTACGAGACGCATCTCGTTGTCGCGAAAAACACGCTACGCATTTTGGGGACATGAGTGAGCTGTAACAGTGACGGTCAGATCCAAGTATTCGTTCACATAAAAGTCAGCAGGTGGTGTTTTCTAGCTACTTGCCCTCTAGTGTCTTACTTCGAAACTAGAGACAGCTAATTACACACATAGCCATTGTGTATCTTTGCTAGAAAATTAAAAACTAAAGAAACTCTAAACAGTTCGTCTCAGCAGTCTTTACATTCAGTCTCTCTGTGGCTCGGTGGTAATTCTGAAGGCTTATAACGCTAGAAAACGGGTTTCGATACCCATGGTGGGCACAGAAAAAGCTCTTCAATTGTATTTTCCAGAAAGCTGTCAATAAAATTTTAAATATTTTGGCACTAGAATTATCCTCTGATTTTCTCCTTTTTCTCTTTCATCTTCTTCTATCTTTTAATTAACTGTTTAATTCAATCACGCCCGTTATATTTTTATTGGATCCTTTGATTAAAACCTATCAATTTTAATGAAAACACGCCCACCAAGTGTAGTAAGAGATTTTACAGTGTACAGATATCTCGCTCCTCCGATCAGGCCCGGCATGGACAGGTGGTTAGGGTGCTCGACTAGCAATCTGAGGGTCGCGGGTTCAAATCTCCGTCCCAACAAACATGCTCTCCCTTTCAGCCGTGGGGGCGTTATAATGTGACGGTTAATCCCACTATTCGTTGGTAAAAGAGTAGCCCAAAAGTTGGCGGTGGGTGGTGATGACTAGCTGCCTTTCCTCTAGTCTTTCACTGCTAAATTAGGGACGGCTAGCGCAGATAGCCCTCGTGTAGCTTTGCGCGAAATTAGAAACAAACAAATAATCCTCTGATCTTTCCTCTTACACAATTCTACGTACAGGGTGACCCAAAAATTAACTGCGATAAGTTTAATATCGATACAGTTCTAAAGATTCAATCCATCTCCATTGATTAAAAATAAAACCAAAACCAGACAGGCAGTGTTAATTAGATCTCAAATCTGTCAAGAGATGGAGCTATAAGTTAAAAGTGTGTACTTGAAAAAAACAAATACTCAGAGACATTCTATGAGCCGCGACTAAAAAGCGATATCCAGCTTGTGTTAAAGTTTTAAATGTAATTCAACAGTATGCATTAGAAGAAGGAAAAAAAACTGCACAAACACTTTGAAATTCCTTCCCAAGCGAGGTTAATTACTTTATATTTCATTGTTATTAACACCTCGTTGCTTTGGAGGTCAATCTTGCTTTGTTAGCTTTTTTATAGCAGCCTACTAAGAACTCTGTGTTTTCCCTAAAAGGACCATTTTTAATTAACTCTACTTAAACAGAGTTGACATTAGAACATTGGATTGAGGACTTCTGTGTTTGTTAATACGCTATGGACTGGAAGAAAAGATTTGGTTTTCATTTGTATTTCAATGAATTCTGCAACGTTTCCCTCCTCGTTCTTCTATTGGCTACTGGTGTTTTCCACAGGGTGAAGAGTTGTTATCTTAAGTAAGTCCAACATGTATTGATTTTTGTTAAGGGAGTTTGTTCAACTTCGTTTGCAAGTGTAGATTTGTTATTCGTTTATAAACCTCACAACATCGGCTCAGATTTATACGATTCAGTACCAGTGGGGTTCAAGTTTTATTACTAGTTAGAACACTCGATTTAAAGAACCGACCAAGACATAGCTGTCCCTAATTTTGAGATTTTCCACTAGAGGGAAGGCTAGTAGTCGACGCCATCTTTTGGGCTATTGTTGTAAAGCGCAGATAGCCCTGGAGTATCTTTGAGCAAAATTCAAAACAAAACAAAAAAAATCCTTAAGGGCAAAATTGCACAATGGGCTATCTTTGCTGTGCCCACTGGTGGAATCGAGTCCTGAATTAAGCGTTATTTTAGCTGTTTAACTCGTGCGTTCACGTCTTTTTTGTTAGAGAAGAAAGGTCAAGATTGTATAAGGATATGAACTTAATATAATATAATATAATATAAGGTCGCGGGTTCGAATCCCCGTCTCACCAAACATGCTCGCTCTTTCAGCCATGGGGGCGTTATAATGTGACGGTCAATCTCACTATTCGTTGCTAAAAACGAGTAGCCCAAGAGTTGACGGTGGGTGGTGATGACTAGCTGCCTTCCCTCTAGTCTTACACTGCTAAATTAGGGACGGCTAGCGCAGATAGCCCTCGTGTAGCTTTGCGCGAAATTAAAAAACAAAACAAAAATAACTTAATAAGTTCTTTAAAATGTAAACAAAAGAGAGAGAGAAAGGGGCGCCCGTGCTGACTCTCGACGTTCCTGATTCTGAAACAATAACTATAGTTTCGAAGAAACGTTGTGTGTGCGAACATTATATCAATATCAACATAAATGTATTAGAAAATAGCCAGTTTTGGCACGCAGTTATAACATTAGAAACCTTGACATTTTTAAGGTTCGTTGAACTATGTTAACTTCAATGGAAATGTCACTAGAGAACGCCACCACCGCAATACTTTGGTAAAAAAAAATAAATATATTAACTACTGTTGGCGTATACTTTTA